ACAAAATTTTGCTCTTAAGTAACGTTGAGAAAGTAACGAAACAAAGCACTTGTAACTAATAAAAAGGCCACTAGACAAGATAAAAAAACAAATAAACATCAATAAACATCTACACAAGCTGTAGAAAGGATTATTTTTACTGTTTGTTGAAATACTCGGGGATTTTATAGATTCTAAGAATTTTACCGACTTCAAAGAAAATATAAATGTAATCGATTGAAAGTATTAAGTAATAAACAATCTAAAATTATCACAAAAATCGTGCGGTCATGTCTTTTTAAAGTACTGTAAAACGATTTTAAGGTTTCGATCATCGATTTTGACAATTTACAGCCCTAGCGGTAAAATAAGTTTGTCAGTGAAATAATTGCAGTGAAATAAACTTGTCGGTGAAACATGTTGGTAAAGTGAGTGTCGCTGAAATGATACAGATACTTAAAATCTGATGCAGTTTTTATAGGTAACAATTATAGATGTTCCAGAATTTATGAAAACAGTTGTAAGCAGCATGAAATGATAAGGTGCACGATGCCCATCTATAGAGAAAGTAGAAGCTTTCAAAATACAAGATGGTAAGGCACAAATAAGATTTTTATTCAATAATAGATTGCCTGATATTGGTACATTATCCAGCAATTAATATTCAAGGTCTCAGCGTGCATGTTTTCCTTTCTTAATTGGTATATACATATGAGAAAACTATTCAAAGTTCACATTCAAATTATAGTTAAGAGAAAACTTTAACTCATTTGTGGAACTTTAGAGGTGTACTAGGGAGATTATAATGGTTAGTTAGTCGGTCAATTAACCGTCGGTCATAACCACGGTTGATCGGTTAATGAGCAATAACCAGGAATGACTGACGTTGACATCCCTAATATCAAGTATAAATGTTTATGACAATTAAAATAGTGTAACCGGAAGCATGAGCCATGCGAATATCGATAAATTTGGTAAAATTTATCTTTATAAGGATGGTAAGTTTGACTTATCGTTATATTTCTTATATTTACTACTATAGTATCGAGCATCAAAATGATTCGATATGTTGGAGCTTGCAAAAGCTTTGGCTTCTTCATCAGATTCTTTACATTTTCTGGTTATTTCATTATCTTTTTTTTCATAAAAATCCAACCAATATTTATACAAGGTGTTATTCAGATAATCTGCTTTTGGTCGTTCTTGAGGATCATGCTTCCAGCAATTGTTAATTATTTCTCCGATAAAATTTGGTACATGCGCTGGAATATCTGGCCTATAATGTTCTTCTACTACTTTTGCTATAAAGGCTTCTGGATTGTGTCGATCCCCACTGAATGGTGGTTTTCCTGATGCTATTACATTAAAAAGAATACCAAATGCATATACGTCTGCTGCTTGTGTATATGGTTTTCCTTGTAGTACCTCTGGTGCGAGGTAATAAATAACACCATGAGATTCATCCTCCTCCTTTTTATTAGCAGATCTACATAATCCCAAATCCGCAATCTGAGTGTGATTTGTGTCAACCCAGGTTAAATACTCAGGTATTTTCGTTTGAGTCCATTCATTATTGTTAAAATTAACCAAAATATTTCCTGGATGGAGATCATGATGGACCAGACCAGCTTTATGAATTCGCTCAAGACCACCGGTAATATGGATTACAATATATAATTTTGTGCTCCAGTCAATAAACTTATGATCGGTCAAATATTTTCGAAGACATCCTGATGAAGCATAGGATATAACAATTCCATGATTGTTCGTTTCAGGATTTTGAGTGATTCCGTAACATTTTGTAACATAAGCTTCTTCCGCTAATTTAAAGTGAGCATCTATCTGAAAATATGTACATATAAACTAAGATAAAATGGCAATAAAAAACGAATTTGCTATACTCGAATTACAGCAACTTACTTCTTGAAAAAATTCTTGGTTTAAATTTTCTGATTTATGCAAAGTTTTTATAACTACTGTTTTTTTATTAAACCTGTCCCAATCCTTAATATCATTATTCCAACAAATAATTCTTCCATCTAACCATTCAGCAGATTCCACAATCCCATATCCACCTTCACCAATACGCTTAATATTTTGGAATCTTTTGTACGGAATAAACTCTATTACTTCATGGAAATTGGTCGACTTCTTCTGTTTTTCAAGTATAAAATTGTCGATATTATCATTTCCACTCTTCCATTTTGTTTGAAATTGATCTTGGAAATGTTGTGCATTGCATGGCGTGCACCAACGGTAGGAAATATTTGGTTTACAGCATTCAACACATATACCGTTGTCTTTATCAGTTTTCATTTGTTAGCAGAAAATATGATGTTAATCGATTCGAAGCGACAGATTATGAAATTTTAAAATAAAAATAGATTATAATTTGAATATTGATTACACAAAAAAAAAAAGGCGTATCTTCTATATATGCTAAAATAGAATTTTCAAAATGCTGTCACATTTTTAGTTATATTGCAAATGAATAATACATATCAGCGTGTTTGGTTCAACCCCAAAATCAATCATGATTGAGAATTATCATATATTTAAATTTTATTACAAGACGAATTTTCGTAAGAACGACCTTTTTAACCAACCTTATACTCATAATTAAATATATAAAAAATTAAGATATCTATGTATTTAATTATAAACCAAAAGTAAGTTAAAAAGGTCAATTTTTTGAAACTTTGCTTCCGTATTTACCCACCAACCCATCGTAAACTTCATAAACCCATCGTTCTCATCCTAAAACCCCCGAGTATTTCA